ACAGCCAAACACTGACAGAGTCCCTGCTTTCGGTCATCCGTCTACAGCGTCATTTGGGAACCAGAGTTATTCTTTCCACTCAAGAACCCACTATATCTCCCAAGCTCCTCGATTTATGTTCTACTGTCATTGTCCATCGCTTCACGTCACCAACATGGTTCGCCACTCTAAGGCGACACTTGGCAGGCGTCTATTTAGTCTCCGACGCTGAAATGAAAGCCAGCGGTCGAGATATGGTAAACGGTACAAAAGCTAAGAAGGAAAATGACGGGAAAGATTCTTTCTCGCACTTGAACATCAAGGATGAGGATCTGTTCTCTCATATCGTCGGTCTGGAACCTGGTGAAGCACTCTTGTTCTGCCCGAATGCGCTGATCAACATTGGCGCTGCTGGAGCGTCCAATTTTAAACCGTCGTTGATTCACCTTGGGAGCAGTACAATGAAAGTACGCATCAGAAAGAGGATTACCGCAGACGGTGGTCAGAGCATCATGGCTAACTAGTATTATGTTCCTGAAACAAGGGAGTTACAGTACAGAAAGCTGTATGTTTTTCTAGACCATTTTACTCAATAGATAGCAACTTGTAAGACAAGCAGTTTTCAAGTCGCACTCCAGTGGCTTCTCAGTTAGGCATTGCCAAACTGCAAGTGCTGTTATTGCCGCATTTGACATAATCCGTGGTTTTGTACATGTAGATTTGTACATTTAGACCCAAGTCTTGACCTTTCGAAAAAATATTTTAAATTGATCTGATCCCCGCAACTATCTCAGCCCTAAAAAGGAGCACAAATCCAGTTCTGACGACAGGTACAATTAAGATCACGCAGACTGCTATCAAACTTTCCATTCACCGTTTTAGAACTGATTGAAGAAAGCTGTTGAGGATCTGCTCTATTATCTACATATCGATGTAATTGCTGACTGTCGCAGTATCTAATGCTTAGTATAGCTCATAAAGCTAGAGATTGGGACTATCTTGGAGTAGGGCCTCAATCCTAAGGTGTTTCTCCGAGTTATTCGAGAGTTATCGGCTTCTAATAATGATCTTGACATCCGTTCAATCGTGGGTTGCGCCGCGATGACATGTGTCGAAGAGCTCTCCGAATTGCAAGTCTTTTAATATATAGAACTCAGATAGAAGCTCTTTATGGAAATTCTTCGCGCTTGCAACAAATAGATACAGACACTTCAATATCGCCTGAATATTACTTGACGAAACGTTGCAATATGCCAAGAACTCTGTGACAAAGAAGCACGCGTAGAAATATCCTTCATCAAGCAAATAGACAAGTTTCTAGAACAAACACAACAATTGTATACAAGGTAATCAGGTAGCATAGATTGAAGGTATGAAGTACTGCCCCATTGATCTCTAAAGCAAAAGCACCAGTCTATTATCCCACATCCATTCTATAGAACATCCAACATTCCCAAAAGCAAAAAAACAAACTATCACCATACCTTTTCCAAACCGCCAACTCAAACCTAACAAACACGCTCACTCATCGTCACCAGTAAGATCAATCTCAAGACATCCATTCGACAGGGTCCGCGCAGGAAATCGAGGGGGCTCTGGAGCAGGCTCAAACGTCTGAGGCATTCCCTGCGCTGCCTGGTTGATGAACTTTGGGTCCATAATGCCCTGCGCCTTGAGGGTATCTAGAAAGTCAGCATCATTCATCTCATCAACAGAAGTGACATACCGGGCGAGAGATAAACAAAATCGAAACATCCAATGGGTTCTCTGATATCAATAGCGTAGTAGGTAATGGGAACGTTGACATCGACTTCCATGTAGCTATCGCAATGTTAGTCATGGCCTCTTCTAATTAAATTCGCACTTACTCAGTACCGTGAGTTTGCCCATGCCCATTAAGGGCCAGTGCCTTGCACGATGGCTCCAGAGAACGACTGATCTCTTCTTCGAGACAAGGGTGTGCTGAAGGATCTTTTCCGAAGTTCTTTGCAAGCTTTAGAACGACTCGAATTGTGCCCAGAGTCTTCACAAGCTGCATGTCAGCATTGAGAGTCGCAGCAGTAGTACATTCAGCTACACCAATGTCAGTTCTGGATTTGTCAAGATCAAAGGGATACGAACCAGGAGCGAGGTCCCGGAAGCAGAACTCGTGGGAGGTGAGAGACCCATCAGCATGTTGCTGATGACGATACTTGATTTGATCGATGAAATCCTGCTCACGAAGCAATTCTTTATACACAATTGTCTCTTCAATGAGGGCGCCGTCGATGTAGATGGCGACCAAAAGGGTGTCTGTTTCGCTGCCGAAGTCGAAAAGCGGGGATAATCTGAAGCGGACAGAGTAGGTATTCCCAGTCTCTGTCGGGATGAAGCAGCGGGTGCGAGGCACGCCTTCAAACTCAGCGTCGTAGGGGATTGGGCAAGGGGGTTGGTATTCATCCGCTGGCTCACCATTGACGATGACGGCAGTGGAGAAGGCTGGGACTGCAGGAAGAATAGCCATTGCGGAGTCTTGGTGTGGAATAAAGTGGTAGGAAGATACAGATACTCGTAAGAATGATGAAAGTGATTGCGTAAAGGTAAACTTCTAGAAGATGCGGAAGAAGTGTTTGTGGGGAGAAGATGGTTCTTGTCCGGGAGAAACAGAACGCTTTATACGTCTCCGTAGTTCGTTCCATCTCATCGGCTACGCAAATATCATCGTCAAAGTTTGGAACATGTTCAAAGAAATATGCAGCTTGCGATGAGCTACTGCAAGGTCTTTTGTGGGTGGTTATGTACGCTGCAGCTAGCTGAAAGGAGTTCTGCAGCAGCTGGGTAATCACCAAGAACAATTCACCGCTGCGCTGTCAACCTTTGTTTATCTTCAAAGAGGTGCATATGCTGCTTGCTTTAGATCCACTTATGCAGAAGCTCAGTCAAAAGAGAATTGAATTGCAAAAGCGGCAAGCTGCAGCGAAGAGGAGTTCAGCAGGTTCAGTGATACGAGCATGAAAGATAACAATTGTTTGTTTCTTTGCTGGTGGTAGGCCGAGACCACTGTTCTTTGATATGTACTGTGAGTGATGAGACTTGCATCGCGATAGCCTCAATGACGTCGACGGAGTGGCGTCCTTGTCTTTGCTGTAGGCGAGACAGATACGCCGCTGTCTTTCACATGGAGCAGCAAATCCCAGACGTTGACAGTAGTGGTCGCCTTTCGCTTACTGGCTCAGATACATGAGATCAAACCATGGAAAGCACGGTAAGGAAAGGGCCGTGACTATACCTTTTGGAATTTCTATAGATTGCACAGTCAAATGGACGCTCAATTGTTTCATTGTTGCAGCAATACTAATGGTAGCTATGCCCAGTGGCCAACTTCATGATCTCCATGAAGCTATCGCGATAATCATTCTCATACCGTTCCCGTCAAAGGTATTGGCTGAACATCAATATCTGCCAATACGTCTAGCAAGTCAATGAATAGATTCTTGACTTCCACCGGCTTTGATCTTTTCCTCTTTGCCTCGTTAAAGTATGCTCTGGTATCGGCTGTTGCTTTTGTGTTGAAGCATTCTAAACACGTGATTCAAGACGGACCAAGCGTAGATATCATCTTTCGTGATAGATCCAACGATCCGCTCAAGTGTTTATATGGAAACAAAGGTAATGGGTCGAAGCAAAGAAGTATATTGATATCCGGGTCAGACCCCTGTGTCAGCATTTTATTGCGCAAACGCTATAATAAAGACTGCAATGTTCCCCTCATTAAGGTCAACAATGTTAGTTACAGTATGGATGTGAGTATGGTGGGTATAGTGATGTATGCATGAACAAGATCACAACCATACTCTGAGGATTGCACACCTGTAACAATCCATGACAATACATCAGTCGCCGATACAGGCATTTGTAAAACTGCCGCGTGTGAGGCACGTGATGTAAGCCATCAGCTGCCGGGTCTATCAACTCAAAATAACACTCTTATCAAAGTCAGTCCGGGAGTATACCAGCAACCCAGCACAATTGCCCAAGATAAGCTTCACAAGTCTAGCCGGCGAATGGCTTTTGTAGATGCTTTTTTTAATATATCGTTCGTAATGGCCTGACCGGTGACAAGCGTACTGTACCGCTTAGGCGACTTGATGGTTTCAATGTGAGGAATAGTTATCAGAGGGTAGAGAAGTCACCTCAAGTTGCGTAAAGTGGTTTTTCGCCTGGAAGACGGCGTTGAGAAGTGTTTCAGCTTGGGTTTGCTGAAACATTGAGCGTGGTTATCCACGATGATACTGGCATAATCAGAGCGATGGTTGATATTCTTAGACTTCTCGCGCTTAGCTTGGGTCTTGTCAATGGAGCTGAGGATGTTTTGGAACTCTAAAAATTATAGCTGCTAACTTTGTTATGATGATACCAAACTGGAAGTCGCCTGTATGCATGAAATTTAGAATCATAGCGAGCAACGATATCCGTTATGTAAGATTAGTTGCAGCATGTTTATTAGAACCACTTGTAGACCTTCTCACCCTCTCTGCTTGCTTGCCTCTTGCAATTACACCTGTTGAACGTAGATATCCGTATTCGATGACGTTTTATCCGTCTTAACCATTATTATATCTATCAAAAACGACTTGTAGCTTTTTACATCCCCAACGTATCACCGGTACCGATGTATCCAACTCTACTGCCAGATCTAAAGATATCTATCGCTCAGATCTGTACCAAGAGAACATGGAATTCTAATAAGCCAAAGCGATCAAGCTTCCATTGATACTGTTTGGCATGTTTGCGCTGATCATAAAGCGCGTGAGCAGTAAAGCCGTGCTTGACTGAGCCAGCTTGACTGCGCTGAACTTTGCCTGTTTTCAGGTCGGGTGAGCCAACCCGCACTACGACTCGTCATCTCCGCAGACAGTCTCAGAGCGCTTGACTTCGGAGCGATGTGATTCTTCGTTGTTTGTTATCAGATTCACAACTATATATATCAGCCTGTAGATGATAAGTCACCATGAAGTTATAACTCCTACTCTCTAGTATCTTTATTTCAGTTCAGGCAAGCGGTAACCGCCAATTGAAGCAAAGAATCCTTTTGATTGTGCCATCAAGTTTGCAATATCCTGGCCTACGATAGCCGGAATAAGGGCTGTTCTTGCTGATTCCACGTTGTGAACAAATCTCCCTGCGACCTATGCAGAACATAAGTAAGATAAAGGAGGAAGAAGAATAAGAAACATACCATTGAACACTCTCCTGTAAGAGATGTTTCCACAGATACCCGGTAAATCTCCTCCGCAACGGTCTCCGGGGTGTTTGCCTCCAACCCAGAATCCTTCCACTGCTGTGCATAGCCGGCAGTGATCTGTGTCGGAGTGAAGAACGGGGCCACGGCGTTGACTCTGATTCCTCGACTTATCGCAACCCCCTGGCATGCGCGGAGGAGACCTATGACACCATGCTTGGATGCGACATAAGCGGCCACGCCGGTGCCCCCGAAGTATCCAGAAGTTGAGGCGATGAGCACAATCGACCCGGCGTCGCCGTCTACTCTGGGCTTGCTCATGTAGTGCATGGCTAACCTCAGAGCTAGATAAGATATATCAGCATTGCTAAGTCTGAAAGAAGTATATCCAGAGTCTTACTGTTAAGTGTCCCTTTCAGGTTGATATCGATTACTCTAAAGGCTTCCTTCGATTCCATCAGTTCACCGTGTTCGTCAACCTCATCAAGTGAAAAGGTGTCCTTCCGCTCCATAATCCCAGCATTAGCCACTACAATATCGACTCGTCCAAAGCGCTCAGTCGCCTTCCGGAATAGCGATGTCATATCGTCCCAGTTGGCAATATCTACCGCTGTGAAAACGGCGCGAGAAGGATGTCGACAGGAGTGTATGAGTTCGTCGGCTGCATCATGGGCGCTGGCTAAGTCGGCGATTACCACTTGAGCTCCATGAGCATTGTAGAGTCGTGATGTCGCAGCCCCAATACCTCTAGCTCCTCCGGTGATGATGACTGTCCTGTTTTCCACTGACATCATGGTGTGTTGACCTGAGATCGAGGTTGTTCAATCAAGGCCACGTCACGAATCTGAAAGATGTGTGAAGTTAAGTAGGCTCTTACCAAGATGTTTCTTCGTACCCTGGAACAATTGGTTTGAACAAGTGTCAAGGAAGCTTTAATCATCAGGTGACTGGGAAGCTAAAGAATGGCCATGGGGAGACTAACAGCACTCCGGGAAGAAGAGGGGGATGCATCTTGTAGTGGATCTAGCAAATGTAACGTGAGGACGGGAAGGATCATCAATTAGTAAGAAACTAGAGAGGGTTGGTCATGGCTACGATGTTTCTTCTTCAAGAACGTACAGTACTTCAATACCCCGCAAACGTTGTCCTACCCCGCAAGTTTGCAATGGATCAACCGCATGGTGCAGAGCAAACAACCACCTTTCTAAGGTTAGGTCTAGCCATTTCGGCTGCCGAAAGATGACTTTGGAATACTTTTTAGCCTTTTCGGTACTTCTTGTGTGTAGGATGTAACAAATTAAGGTGCTTCTAGGTCAGCGGGTACTACAGATGCCCGAAGCTATGTAAAGTTTCTCCCTTCCAGGCGGCTCGTTGAACTCTGGCGGGGAGCCTAGCACTGCCCCGATCATCACGCGGCATTTATCAATACCATCAGGGAGATAAAAGCAAGTACACTCACCCATGACCAAACAAACATAAACAGTATCAATTAGTTACGATTTAGGAGCCTTAATTTACGCTATTGAATCTTGATCTTGGAATACGGAGGGAAAACATTGCGTGTATCTGCAGAATGAGATAGTCATTGAGTAAAAGTCCTTGATTAAAGTATACATACTAAGGGGAAATACTTCACACATTCCGTGAAAATCAAATATATTTAAAGGATAAACCTTTATGACGCATAAGCTAGTTCCGGATTGAGCTAATCTGTGAAAATGGTGATCCGGAGGTTGCCGTCCCCTAGCGACGAGTATCGTTTGACCACAGTCAAGATCAGGACGTTACGAACTTCTCCACGACCCGGTTAAACAGTTCTGGATTCTCCCAGAATGCAAAATGACTTCCCTTTTCGGCCTTGGTAAAGATATACTTCTGAGCCCCCGGGATCTGCGACGCAGCCCACGTGATGCCTGTCGCGTTGTTGAGACTTGCGTCACCTGCAAGAACCAACGCAGGAATGTCAATCCTCGGTAGGACATCCCGCCAATCCATAAACGCGTGGTTGATCAAGAGCTTAGCGGCATGGGCGTCGCTCATCTTTCTATTCTGCTTAATCATCCAGTCCAAATCGGACTGGGAAATGGAGGATGTAAACATGCTCTTTATGAAAGGTACCAATTCATTTGTGAGATTCGCCGAGAATGTATACACTTGTGCAGGCGAGAACAAGGCTGCTGACCAGGTATTCCTTTGCGCCTGCGTCCAAGTCGGGTCCTGCACCAATACCGAAGATTGGTCGTCGATAACGAAGCGGGAAACTCGCCTGCGCTGAGCAGGATACTGGTCCCAGAAGGCCCATGTAACGGACGAGCCCATGGAGTGCGCTATGATACTGACGCCGCAGAGGCTAAGAGAGTTGATAACATCGTTGAGGTCTGCGCCAAAACGACTAAGACGATATCCAAAGTCTGGCTTGGCAGAGTCGCCGTGGCCGCGCATGTCGTAGGTTGTTACGCGATAGCCGGCCGAAGAGAAGTATTCAATCTGTTTGTTCCACTGCGCAGCGGTCTGCCGCCACCCAGGGATGAAGAGCAGCTGCTGGCCAGAAGGTGGGCCTGCCTGGATATACCGTAGTTCGACGCCGTCCTGAGTGGTGACGTTGCCTATTTTCAAGTGAGGCACTGGGCCCAGTTCACGAGGGTTTCCTGCGGTCGAGGCGGCCATGGCAGCTACCCAAAGACTGGTGAGCAAGAAGATCTTCATGCTGGCTGTTGGTAGATGCAATGTAACTTGAGATGCTAGGGCTTTGGGTACCAAGCAAAGCAAGCTGCCAACAACCCCATTTATGCACTTCGTACTTACTGACGTCTATCTCTAGGGTCATCTCATCTTCCCCAGATTGAATTGCAGCTGCGGAGCCTAGCGCTGTCCCTAGCTCGAATCTGTCGTCGGAAGTCGTCTAGATTCCCCGTGGGGCCGGTATCCGGGGTACAGGTGCTTATTTGCGGGGTAGAACTTGGATCGCGGGCGGGGCTAAAAGCTCCAAGCAACATGTAACTGGGTTTCGTCGTCGGCCGCGCAATTTCATCCCGAGGTGTTCGACTACCTACCTATATTAACCTGAGGATTATGGAGTATTGTAGTATCTGCCAAAAGATCTTGGTGTCTTCTGCCGCTAGTGATGCGCAGCTGCAAGGAGGTGCCTTCCTTCAGGCAATACCCATCGCAAGCCTGCCTGACTACGAAGCTAAGGGACTTCTTGGGCGAGGATTCGTCAAGAGCAGACATGGGAAAGACTGGGTCATTGGGGTCCATTGTAGTCGTTGGGAAATAGTCTAGACTCTACGGCCATGCAGGGTTCCCCGCGTTCAGTCACCGTAGGCCACTATCGCTGTCTACAAAAGTTTAAGTCCGTCAGATAACACGAAAAGCTCTCGTGTCCAATGACATCCACGATTGCCCACTTACAACTGCAACCACTCCGGGGAGACTAACATTGCTCCGGTCCTGGGCGAAACAGGCGGGGATGGCTTCCTCTGCACTCACTTACCCTGCCTCGATGTCTAAGAATCGTAAGGCAACAGGACGTGTTAAGAAGAAACGCCTGCAATAGATTCCACTTATTAAAAAAACGACAAATGCATTTTTCTTTCTTACTCAGGTGCAACTTACGTCTGAACCATATACCTAAAGTGCTCTAAGCATTATCATGGAGAAGCAGGGAGGTGCTCAAGGCTTCGTTGCCGGCGCTTTCAGCGGTGTTGCTAAAGTTTCCAGTAAGTAAGATATCCGGCCATTGCACTCCTTGGCTAGCACCACTAACCTATGTTCTGCAGCGGGACATCCTTTCGATACCATCAAAGTCCGTTTACAAACATCGAGTACATCGCGCTTTCGCGGTCCATGGCATTGCCTTCATGAGACCATCAGTCAAGAAGGGATACGAGGCTTATATAAGGGCTTCACGCCGCCACTGATCGGGTTTGTGTTCATGGACTCCATATTGCTCGGTTCATTCTCTATCTACCGTGATTACTTCAGGAGCACATGTCCAGAAACTTCATCACCTGCAAAACTCCCGTATTTGGACGAATCAACAAGATCGTGTCTAATACACGGGGTCTCAGGAGGTTTGGCAGGATGGACAGTCAGTCTCATCGCAACCCCCATCGAGCACATCAAAGCACGACTGCAAATACAATACACAACGACAGGAGCCCAAAGATTATATTCAGGACCATTTGACTGCCTTCAAAAGGTCTTCACCGCACATGGAGTGACTGGCGTGTATAGAGGCTTTTTCTCCACCATCATCTTCAGAAGTTTCTTCGCCGTCTTCTGGTCAAGTTACGACCTGCTCAGCCGTCAAATGCAGCGACGTACCAACTTCAGCACTCCTTTAGTAAACTTCCTTGCTGCCGGCTTTGCCGCGCAGATGTATTGGCTAACGGGGTATCCTACGGACGTTATCAAGCAGCGCATTATGACCTCGCCTCTTAACGGTCCAAGGTGGAGTTGTATGGATACTGCTAGGACTATTTACAGAGAAGCTGGATGGAAAGGTTTCTGGAGAGGGTTTCTCCCTTGTATATTGAGGGCATTTCCTGCTAATGCCATGTCTATCGTGGCTTTTGAGGCATCTATGCGTGGAATGACGCGTCGTGTTTATGTAGGAGACTTGGATCTATAAGCTTTGGAGAAGAGTCTATCTCATTCTGATGCCAGGATTGTAGCAATTACTGTGGTGTGTACAGCTGCTTATAGAGCCTTACAACGCTGTTACGGGCACGAATCGTAACAGGCAACGGCAGAGATAAGGGATGGTTGGCTGGTAGTGGTGTTGATGAAAGCCCAGTCTGATGGTATGGAGCTTAGATCGGATTCGACTGCCGTTCGGTGGCGGTAATACAAAGCCGCATCCAGGAACAGGGTTGATGGTACAGGGTGACACAAAGAGGTCTTGGGCTTACCTCTCAGCTCCTCAACGCTAGTGGTCCCGGCATTGCCGCCTCAAACTTCGGCCGGACAGAAGCCAACGCTCGTGGCGTAGCACGCATGTGTTCCTGCGTGAAATCTCATGTCCACTCAATCACATCTATTGGCTATGGATGATGTACTCGCGGCGAGTTCCAATTTGCAACCCCCCACCCCCTCTTCAAATTTCGACCAAGCTTGATAACTAATATAGCTAATGGAACTACTGAAAACCCACCTCTTACATACCAAGTACCCTGTACATGTACCTCAAATGGATAGAAAATATATGACGTCCAGAGTGATAGAACATAACTAAATCATCCAGCTCCGACCGTTAACCTTCTCACCCTTTACATTCTTACGGTGATAGTAGCAGCAGAGCGCTAAAGCAATGCATGCCGACATGGCGGAGAATCCACCGTTCATTCCGTGACCAAGCCTGTAAAAAGGCTTATCTTGAGCACGGTAGATCCATACACCGATGATCTGGCCTGGGCCGGAGAAAGCGACATTCAGTCCAACGGCGATAGACATTGCCGTGGTGTTGCTCACGTTGTCTCCAATCCACGCGTTCATACTTGGAAGACCAGCGAACGCACCACACGTACTGATAACCAAGAGAACGTAACGAGCCGTAAAGTGCTCACCTGGAAGGGCAGCTGAAACGTGGCGGGTTAGCTTTGGTAAGCCCATCAGATGAACGGGGGGGACTACTAACCCAAGATGACAAAGGAAACGCAACAAGTGGAAAGAGCAGCAAAGGTTACTGGGCCGCGAACTCTGAGATGGTCAGAGACGAAAGCAGAGAGGATGGAGCAGATGAAGGCGAGTGCATATGGAGGCACGGTAAAAAGCTGCGCGCGAAGTCCTACAAAACCAAGACCCTCAACAATAGTTGGCGCGAAAAGAGACAGGGAGCTGATAAGGCAGCCAATGCCGGTATAGGCCAAATAGTGAGCATACAGTCTGTAGTCGCAGAGGGTCGCTTGAGCATCGGGCCAGGTAATCTTTTGTTTACTGGGCGAAGGACATAGTTAGCGCTGTATCTCACCAGAGAACAAGCCGGATAAGGGACAATGGCCTACCTGCTAGCCAGTTCACCAAGTCTTCTAGCCTGGAGGCGCTTTTCGTCGGTGGTCAGGAAGTTGCAGTCCTCTGGGTAGCTGGGTAGAAAGAAAAAGACCAAGATACCCAGAATCACTATTGGTCACATCTGTTAGCGGATACGGCCAGGCATTTTCCAATATGATACAGTGAAAATAGTCGACTACTCTGCTACTGACATACCGGATGGAATTCCCTCGATGATAAACAGCCAGCGCCAAGCCTCCAGACCTCCCACCATGTTCATGTGTCCGACACCATAGGCAATGCATCTGTTTTCTAAAGTCAGCATTACTAACAAAATAAGTAAGATGAAAAGATCTAAACACTTACCCTCCAAATGCTCCAGCTAAGGAGGCGCTACTGAGAAACGTAGCAATGCGTAGAGCACGCTCCTCTGGCTTGTACCAAAAGCTGAAGTAATATATCATTCCGGGGAAGACGCCTGCCTCAGCAGCGCCCAGGAAGAATCGCATTGCACTAATACCGGCGAAGTTATGGATTCCACCGATACCTGTGCAGATCGATCCGAAGACGAAGATGAGGAATCCGAGCCACCTGGAGATAGATGTCAGTCGGGGGTTTTCGAGGGGGAGTAAGGAGGGATTCGTACCGATTCGGTGTGAGTATTTTGAGAGCTAGATTACTCGGCGTTTCGAAGACGCAGTATGCTACAAGGAACAACATGAGAGCTATGGTGTACTCGTACTTGGACAGGTGTAACGAATGCATCAAGTCGTCTTCCGTGTCTGCGTTTAGGATGCGAGCGTTGCCTTTTTTTGGACGTCAGCTGGTTTTCAATCTCGAGACATATGAGATAGGCACTGGAGGGAATGCCACAAAGGTTATAAGAGGTGAAATGGGATTTAATACCGATATTAGATCGATCCAAATAGCAGAGCAGATACGTCAGAGCTGTGACGGGAAGAAAGATCATGTCAATTTTGCGAACCATCCTGGAAAGTATGTATCCGTCAGTAAAATAGAAACTCATTCGCGCTGAAAAAGATGGCATTTTCACTAACCTCTTCTCCATCGCCAGCTCATCAGGAGTCAGCGATAGAACGCCTTGCTCATCGCGGCTCTCGAGCATCTCGACATCGATGGAGTGCTTTGGAGAGCTCATTGTGTTTCTGGTACTGGAATATACCTGTTACCAATGAGCGTATGTGCTAAGTTCTCTCTGTTGATATAGGATCTTAGCTACAAGCGTATAAGTGCAAAAGGTGAAGATTGCAAGAAAAGCAGGCCTGAGCAGTGGACCTTGGATAAACGTCCGCTGAGATATCCTAAATGATCGACAACGAGAAGCGAGATGCAGGCGTTTAAATACTCCACAAAATATCCAGGTTCCCCGCGTCCACCCCCGCTACTTTACTTACCCCATGCGCTAAGATCATCATGCGATCTGGGGTATTCTGGGGAAACTCTCTAGGAAACCAAGGGCCGGGGAGGGATGCAGCACTCCGGACAGTCTACACTAAAGCGATAGCGTTATTTCTTGGCCCTGTGACGCTTGTCAGAACTGGCGTTTTCTGGAGAAGATTTCTGGAATCTTAAAGGCCGCGGGGGGAGACGAAGTACTCCGGACAGTCTGAACTAAAGCGGTAGCGTCTGTTCTACGCCCTTGAGACTCGTACAGCACGTTACACGCTACGTCATATCGATATCAATAGAGCAGGCTGGATTGAGAGTGCATGTCATTTCCCAGTTTGTCCTTCTTGACTGGTTTGCCCTTCTTCTTTACGGTCATGCAGTCAGGTCACCAAAGGGAATGGAACAGACAGACGCTGATGCTTTGTAATCTCAGGTGCCTTCTCGTGCGATAAATAGGCTCGATTCTAAGAAGGTTCAATCTTATTTTCTTCCCATTCTGATCACAAGAGACTCATCACCACCTAATTCATTCAACAGCGATCGCTATCATTAAACATGGAGTCCTGCTCAACACATCCTGACCTTGCAGGCAAGGTCGCTCTAATCATGGGCATCGGACAAACGCAGACAGCATCAAAAGAGTCAGAACTTTGGGGAAATGGCGCGGCCATTGCCTATGCCCTTTCCAACAACGGCGTGACCATCTTTGGATGCGATCTGAACCTTGAAGCAGCCAAGCTCACCGAATCTCGGCTCCCCGGACCTTGCGATGTCATGACGGCAAACGTTACTTCATCCTCAGATGTCAAAGCCGTAGTCGATGCCTGCTTCAGCAAACACGGACGAATCGACATACTCATTAATAACGTCGGGTTTCCCGTTGCAGGAAGCGCATCTACGCTGTCTGAAGAGGCGTGGGATGACCAAATGGCCGTAAACCTGAAAAGCGTCTTTCTCGCCTGTAAGCACGTTCTACCTATCATGGAAAACCAGGGCTCAGGATCTATTGTCAACAACGCTTCCATCGCCGGTCTTCGATCCCTTTCAAAGCCCCAGATCGCTTATAATGCGGCAAAGGCGGCGGTCGTACACTTCACGCAGGTTACAGCTACTGAATATGCACCCAAGGGCATCAGACTAAACTGCGTCGCGCCGGGTATCATGTTGACACCGCTGATCCAGTCTTGGGAGAATTCTGAGGACAGTGAGCAGAAGAAGATGTATAACAAGATTATGAGCAGTAATGTCCCACTTGGAGCGTTGGGAGACGCGTTTGATGTGGCAAACGCGGTGTCGTTTCTTAGCAGTAATGCTGCCAAATACATAACTGGCCATACAATAGTGGTTGATGGCGGCCTGACAATTACTACTGCAGTGTAAAAGGATACAGTATACCTTTATATTAACTAGCTACTTGATAATACTAAGATGGCGGTATACTTCCATAAGCCTTTCTATGAAGTTCACAAAGGTGATGAACAGAAGTGGGCAGGCCTGTGCCACTGCGTTGCTCTTATTTCGCAGTAGGCAGCTCGGTGGCGGAATGCTAGATCATGGCTCTGTGTGGCAGACCACTGGCAAGGAGACCCGGACTTTGTTCTGACTTGATGAAGAGACTTAGTTACACACAAGACTGTCCGACAGGAAAGGAATCATATTCATCATGGTTCTCGTGACCACGCAGTTCTACACTATGCTCAAGGAATGCATCATTATGCTACCGTCTGTACCACCCACCGAGTCTTAGTGACCGCAACCTCTAGTCGATATCACTTCTCCTTGTTGACTTGCTCATTGCCATGGGTTCCACTTCCTGCCTCGGTGTAGCCACTGGCCGCAGAGTTGCGAGACTCGCCTCTCTTCAACGCAACCCACGTGTTCCAGCTTCCATCAGTGCCGCCTGCTCCACTGCATCGCCAAGCTTGAAACTCTTTCTCCTGACCCTGGAGTCGTTCCTAGCTACGTCAGCACGCATGTTCACTACCACGGCGGCCGCGTACTTACGCGCATCTCAGGCGAAAGGTTGCCTCCGAATGTACGCCGCGCCTAGTGGCGAGTAAGGGTAGACCTGAACTTGGAGGGCGCAGCCTCTTGCATTGCCGTGGCGATGACTTTATCCGCATCTTGAAGGGCGGCGGTGTTGCTTTCGGCTTGAGCCTTGAGCGCCATAGTGTTGGGATATCCTTGAGTGTCAAAGAGTTGCTTTCTAATGTGCAGGTGATTCTTGGCGTCGGCGGTGAGAGGGCAAGGCTGTGCTGTGGTGTTGGTGTGAGGGGATTCTCGCGAGGCTTCGGGCTGCGGGTTGCTACGAAACAGTTCGTGATGGCCTGGCACGTGACATATCTTCGAGATCCGGAATTAGGATTTTTCCTGGCTGCCAGTGTTGGTATCTGCCACGGGATAGTTGTCCTGAGATCCTTGGGGCAAGTCATCGGTTGTTTCGATGTTCATGAGATCAGAATTTATACTGTCGTTCGAGCTTTGCCTTCTGGAGCTCATCACCGAGGCCTCTGAGGGCTTGGTAAACCACCGATAGATTTGTAAGTGGGGATTGTAGTTATGTGCCTTCTCTGTTATTGGCCTATTTTGTATGCCATTTGATAAGCGACAGTATGTCCAAGTTCGAAATGGCCGATACCATAGGTCAGGCCAACGTATGCACCTCTGAACTAAGCCATCAGGGGTGCTATATCCTTGGAAAAGCTTTGTTTATAGTTCTCTATGTCATATTCGCTTCAGGTAATGGTCTCTGGTTGTCGAGGGCTTCGAGAGGGGTATAAGTGTTGGAGTCAAGAAATGTGAGTTCAGGCCACCCTCTCAATCCAGATTCCCATCACCTTCGCGTGAGGACATTGCCGGCGAGGCTCCGCCCGTCGACCTCTTGACACGCACTGGTAATCCCCGAATTTCCCGAAGTGCCGGGTGACGCTACTGTCCTCAGTGTCATCATATACGGTGGTGCAGGCAATCCACGTGCAGACCCTGCCAGTTGACTAGTGTCAGTGGCGAACTTTCCATCTCCGCTTCTATACGAGTTGCTCCATCCTTCTCTCCGCGTGCCTAGTGACTATCGTCAAATCTCACAGAAGGGAAAATCATGGCGATTCCACTGCTCGTAGAGATGAAAGATATCCCCCGCTCGCAATCTGAAACACCAAAACGATACTGCGATGTAAGATTTGAGATACCAGGCACCTTTCTCGGACAGATGCTTTCCGTAGGAGAAGTCAACAAATTCCTCAGCAAGAGCATACGGCAGTTGGGGGGGGTTCGAGAAACAATAGCTCAACTGCAACGTTCATTGGGTGTCGACATCTGTTGAGGTGAGACACTGCTAGTCGCAGGCTCCAGAAGGGGCGACAGCAATATTGAGAGGTGCAATCGATGCTATCGCAATCTCAGCGTCTCCATGTCGCGTCGATGGAGACGAAATGGGCCGCGACTGCTAACGGTGAAAGAGTCTCGGAGGAGAAATAGCGGTGTTGAGAGGCGACATTGAGGCCATTGTGAACCTCAGTGTGTGTTTTTGTGGCGCAGCAGATGGACGGACTTATCGCTGTTGATGGTAAGGGGGAAATATCCTCTAGAACGGTGGTGACAAGTCAAGAAAGGCGACAGCTTCGTCTTGAGGCCGAGCCGCCGAGAACAGGAACTTCGCTCGAGGTGTACCTCTCACACTTTTTCAGGATGACCGAGAATGACTAATTTTGAACTAAAATTCATTTTGAATGGCATGGCCTGACCAGGAAAACAACATCTGTCCGAGTTGGACTGCCTCATCTTGTAAGTCTTTGGCCACCATGTCTAAATCAGCTATTCCACCGCATATGTCATGAGCCAGCCTGACGAGACTGCTTGCAAGGCATATGTGGTATTTATAATATAACCCGTGGGGGGGATTTAATAAATGTGACTGACTCTTGGGTAATTGCCGCACAACGCGCATTTCCACTCGCCTCTGTGATCGAGTTGGGATTTGGCATGCCGTCCTTCCCTCCCCTTCTGATTGGATCCAACGTAAAATACTCGTGGACACTTTCGTGACCCTGATGACATATATTTGGTGTTTGTGATCGAAATACCGACTTTGGGAACTTCTTTATGGCCAACCCATGATGAGGGCTGTTTGATGCCCCGCGACGTCTCCGGTCGATCCAGGTTATCAGGGCACATACGGACATTTGTTGATCATAGAGGGTACTCTGGATCTCAATGCGGACCGAGAATCCAGCCAAGAACTGGCGGCCAATATCCGCTCCAATACGTACTATTGGGGTCCGTTCTTGTCCAACACGTAGATCACCCACCGACCCGAGCAAACTATGATCAGTACACAAGTCACTGCAGCGGGAAGTTGAGGTCGCACGCAAATCCCTTCAAAAATAGCAATTTCCCCATCTTCTATCATAACAAGCAAGATCCCAAGTCCATCTACAACGCTAGCAACATAGGTAAAGCCTTCCGAAGCTCGCATAGTTCCCTCTCACCTACCGTCCTGCAAGATGTTTTCCTCCCATCACTCACATCCCAATCTACTCCTTATTGAACGCGTCGACCTCTGCGACCATTGTGAAAAGGATGATATGAACGGCCTTCGGAAAGTCTACGACGCTTGGCAGCAGGTTGAGTGTCCGTGTCATCATCATCAACACGTCCTCGCCGAGCCCTCTTCTCAGCCGTTGAAGGACCCAGCGTCAATCGTTCAACACCAAGTCGCAAATTTTGCTCAACGATAGTACAATCACAAGGCGAGATGTCAGTGAGTTCCTGCTGTGGTGAAATGGCCTGAGGCATCGCTGACTGGTCGGATGGGATCGAACGATCAATCTCAGCGACACTGGCTTGGGGTATTTGGTCGAGATCGGGCTTGGGCTCGGTCATGACGGGTGATTCTTGTACGGGTTTCTTCTCCGCCTCTTCAGACACATAATCCCAGAAGCGAAAGTAATGTCGCTTGAGTGAACCGATGAGAGAAGTCATTGTTGATCCAGGTGCGTATATCAGCTTTGATGTATGACAGATAAGGATATTCAGAAGTGAGGACTGTAGACTCAGTTGTAATCAATTGCAAGTCAAAGCACGGCTGGGGAAAAAGCTTTTATATTTCGAATTTCGATGGTGAATGCGATGAATCTTGGTGCTATAAAGCCTTTGAAGAAGTGGATGTGAAGAAATCTTTGTACTGTAGCATCTGCATGATATGTAAAAAGGACGTCAAAGAAAGCTGTCTGCAGTTGCCCTTTGCTATCATTCAAGATCCTACGATCTTTAACAATTGCCAATTCACTGACTGGCAGCTGGTGAAACCTTTGCGATGCTCTGACGGGTGAAGATGCTTGATCTGGAGCGGCCATTGTAGTCTGCCAGAGGTGGGAATGCGCCAAACAGATCAAGTTGGAAGAATGACTGGTCGAACTTCCTTCGCAAGGTGCTTTACATACGATAGATAGCAAAGAGCTCACCCGGGCGCCTCTAATGGCGTCTTGGTGATATCCTGAGCACCCAATCTCCATACTTCTTGCGGGATCATTGAACGTATTGAGCACAGCGGCGGACTGTTACGTTCATCACCTATCCCATGCCATGCATCGTTAGCTAGCTGCCTTCTCAAGGACATGGCGTGGATCGTGAATCCCAATACGTTTCCGTATTTTGCGTCCGGCTTGCTCCTGCACTGACTTGTATGAGATGATAGCTGTGACAGATTCGGGTTCGTCACCTTGAACATCTCACAAGGAGCGGGAATCGGGATAGACGATCTGACTCGGGTATCCGATTGACGAAATCTGTATGAACCTCAATGAATCATCGGCGTTGTAATTGAGGCTGAAGAGATGAGTTTCTGACATCTGAACAGTTTGCCGTGTTGTTGGTCTGAGGATGCAACGCGCAAGCCAGCCTCTTCTTCATCGCAAGACTCAATCTCACATCCTTTGCCGTTGTCTCCTCCATCGCTGGAGTCCACCACCAACATTGCCATCGGTAAGGGCTCGGCTGATCGCTTCTGCGATAATCTGCGAGGTGTATTGGTCCTCAGAGAGTAACGCAACGGGGTCCAACGACCAACGGGAGCATGAAACCTCCTCCCACCAGCAATATACGTAATGGTGAGTTTGATCGTGAATGGCATCCCTCGGCTGCGTTTTCTGCCGAGACCTGCATGATAACGAGAGTTATTGCTTATTGCAGAAGCCGACAAAAGTGTATCGTCATCAGTATCGACGGCCAGGTCAGCTCCAACCCCAGGCCCTGATCACCATGCTGAGAATCTCACGATGGCTGATGAGAAGGCTCGAACCGGCAACGACGCTCTCGATCTCGCGGTATGGCAGTTCGCTGTTGTGGTCAGGCATGGCATGGTCCCCCAGACATCGATCGACATGCTCGAGGATCTCCTTGTTCAATGCCGGATCACCCCGCGGTCTTCTCTTCTTCCCGGCCCGTGAGAAAGGTATTTCTGCGGTATCTCTGCAGAGCTGAGTTCCTTCAATGTCACTTACAAGACCTTCGCCGCGTCTGTTACCCTCCACCACGTACAGTGTGGGACGCCTGGGTGGAAAGGAAAAGATCGAACGCAGGGCTGTACAACATCCTCATGCAGACATGTCCTTGCAAGCCATAATCACTGCACGAACAGGCGCAAAGGTGTGGATGTCGGTCCAGACGCATATAAGTAGGCTAATGTGAGTACAGGATCATGGTGATTCGTGACGGCGTGAAGTTTTAGAAAATGGGTGCCCAAGACAGGGTCTCCAATTGCAGTGAAGCCTGGGCCGTCGAAAAGAAGGTTGAGCAGAGGACTGTTGATGTGCACAGCAAGGCAACTAGCAGCCACTTGACGCCCAGGAACCGAAGCTGAAGTCTGGGAGTAGACTAATGAAGACCTCGTGAGCAATAGCGTGCAGACAAACCAGTGTCAATCTGAAACCACCACCTAGTGAAAGTACCCCGAGAGAGGGTGCTTATCGATAGACACCATTGCGGCACATGTACCCCCGACGTCGATCAGGGTATCGTTCACCTCAGCGCGCCGAACTACCCAGAGTTTGTAGTGTATACAGAGGTGTTCATGAATGAACTAGGCAAAGCTGGGTCCCATCCCTCCGTGCTGCTGATCTTGCAGTTTATCTTGCATGTTCTTTTCGATTGAGGTTCGAATCGGGACCGTTTGGCGTTATGGAGATTGCTGCTTGAGTTGATTTTGGTAGGATGTCATATCGGGATTCAAGACTGAGGTTGGTCAAACTGAAATGACATGGCGTATGGTGAGCAACGTTGGGCTCGAGGCATCAGCTCTCCGTTGAAACCTTGCACAGCCATTCTCCCCTCTCCCCCGTCAAGGCTGTCATGATCGCTCCCGCCTTGGAGATCCAATACTGATTGTTGCCCGTAAGAAACAAACGAGGTTCAGCTATAAGCAGAGCGCTTCGAGAGGCCCAGAGCACTTCTCAATCCGGCTCAGCACATCCGCTGTCCCTGGCCCTCATCTTGTTCGAGCATTGTGCCTCGCAATTTCCCTCGAGTCTATCGGAGAAATGGCCAAACAGGATTGCGAACATGCCGTCAGCCGTAGGTCATATCTGGATTGTCGCTCCTAATGTCGAACCAAGATATTGTACAGCGGCGGGCGGAAATAATGACGGCGCGTTCGTTAGGATCGAGGGAGACAATGGACGGCGTCGCTCGCGGTTCTGGGCGAGGGCACGATTCGAGGAATTAGATCAAAAGGTTCTCAATCTGTTATATCGTCGTCTGGCGCGTGCTCTACTCGTTCGGATGGTTGTGGTCTTGTGGTTCTTCCGCCGCGTATCTTGAATCTTGCAGCATTGCTAGCTGAAGACGCGACGCGGGGATGCGCGACGTGCCAGCGCGTCGGCTCGAATGATGGCGAACGTACAAACTATATGGAATCACAGTCGCCCAGAGAGTTTTCAGTGATCAAGGTGCCGACTGAGGGATGAGGACGATCAGCTCCGTAAATGACGTGACGAAGCAGCAGTAGAGATAAATGGGTACGAGGATAAACTTGCGTGCCGAGCCGCACGGCCCCACAAAGCCGGACACGCAGTCCGGGGAAACGATGGAGCTCCGACACGGCCCGACTGGAGATGGTGATCTGCTGAGATGTTCAGGGCCACTTATTACTTCTTACCCTCTGCCAGTCTAACATTACGCTTCGTGATGTAAGCTCATTTCTATGTACATCTTGAACGGCGCGGGAAATGCGGAACTGTTGTCACTCACAGCTATTCCTGGGGCCAAAGCATGATCCTTGTTATGCTGTCTCGCTCCTAGTCAAATCTTTTGTTATCCGTAACCAAGACAAAGGTTCGTTTCCAGCTATCTTTGAGTCAACTATTCCGTCTGTTACTTCATGCATGCATTCAAGTCATTGAACTTCGACTCCAAAGCCGCTGACCACAGTTGTATGCATAATAATACTACGTAGAAGATGTCCCTTCTTCAATATCTTGTATAACGCAATTCAGCGTTCCCAGCATCTGCATAAGTGGTTTCAGATGCTTACTCTCTATCGTATAGAGATTGTCTGCTGACATCCTCTTGCCCAGCAGTCTAGAAGCTCCAGTGGTCCTAGAGCTCGTGACAAAGCGGCGAACAATATCTAAGAAATTAAAGTTAGTGTTCTGGGGCCTATAATGGTTTCCTGCTCTGAGGCGATTTGAGTCAGAAGGCGCACCTGCAGTTTCTTCCATAGATCTTAATAATTTATAGGCAGACTCTTCCCAAAAGGCCTCATTAATATCATAAACAATCTTCCCAAATTGCAAGACCTCTGGGATGTTCTCATTGGCCACAATCTTTGTGTCTTTGGACGACATGCTATACTTCACGTCATCTATCTATTGGTTAGCAAGCCTTCACCTTTCACAATGGTTACGCACCTGAATAGAGGCCTGAGATCTGGTCCAGAATCCCGGGATCTTGCGCTGCGCGAGGACGCAGAGCCAACAGATTAGCTAGCACAGGCATAAACCACACATTCCCAAATTGCAATGCTATCTTCGTAGCCGCCACGAACTCGGAGGCACTTGTAGCCTCCGGCTTGGTATCCATGTAGAACGGCTCTCGAGACTCAACTACTGCTTCTGCCCATTGTGCTTTACTATCCTCTAGTTCCACTTGGAATTGAGGTAGCAAAGTGAACAAAGCATTATTGATAATTTTGTCGCATGTCACTGTGGATGAACGATCTGTGATGTTTATTTGTCCTTGTGAGAGGAACTCTCCGAAGTAATAAACACCAGAGTAGGTCTTATGTGGCTTGTTTCGCAAGTGACGGAAGTCACCGAGTCCTCTCGCTTCCCAGGTTTGCTGTACACCTTTAACCGTGATCTTTTGACCTCTGGGGACTTTGTCATAGAATTCCTCGATCAGGTCGAGGTCTCGTACGAAAATCCCCTTTGGGAACATAGTGGTATCGATAATGCAGAGGTGAATTGCCTCCAGCTCGGCACCTTCCGCCTTATGCTTATAGATAGCGTATTGAATCGCGACGAGCAGCGAAGTTGTCCAGGATATGAAAGGGTCTCCATATGATTTCGGCTCCCATCGAAGATGCTCATTGAGGGCTATAGCGATATTTGCAGCATTATCTCGTGCAAAAATGTCCGTCAGATTGTTTCTCAAGGCATCAATAGATTTGAACCATTCGCTGCTATTGTTTCCGGCAGACGCATCTGAATAAACACGAAAGAGATAACGAGGGGTGTTGTCCAATTTCGTTGCGAGGTTGCCTGACGGCGGGCAGAACGGAACCTCAGTAGGTGTTTCGTCGCCAAAGCCAACATGGGTTGGTCGGCCGATACGTAATGCGGTAAGGTTTGCTGCTAGTTCGTTCATGGCTCGGCAGGTGGATGTAACTATTCCCCAGCGGAGATCAACTCAGTTTTATCTTGTAAAAAAAGCGATGCAGCAGAATTTGGCGTCGAGGCGCGGGTTTGGTGAGATGATGCTTCCGTACGGTATACACCACTGATGCCCAACTGAGTTTGATGCCCAATTCACGGCGGCCACTATCACGTTTCAGTGACGAGGACGGCGGGGGATCTTTGGTGCGTCGTTGGGGATTTGGCCGTAAGCATAGCTGTATCTAAAAATCCAGTAGGCAAAGACTGCAGGTTTAAAGCCTCCGGTACATGTTTCGGCAAAATGAAACCACATTCCCTCTTTAGGGCTCGAAATAGCATTTCAGGCCAGACTTTTCTGAATTTTAATAAAGATTGCAGTCATATATGGCATGTCATGCAATGTTGCAAATATTGGACTCTCAATAAAGCGTTGCATTTCCTATTACGGAGGAGTGCATTTTATCGGCAGACGCTTACCATGAGCCAATACAAGACCTGAAAGTAGTGGAGACGACAGGCTTACCCTACATATTTGAACGTCATTTTCAAAGCTCGTAACGCGGATGCAGTCCCCCAGAAGTTAAGAGCAGACAATACAGTACAGATGAACTCTGTTGGACAGAAAATCGATGACCACCTCCGACAACCAAACCAGCAAGCCTGTGCACCGAAAACGGAAAACGACATTCCGATCTGATGAATAGTTGAGTGGCTTTGGCGTGTTCCAAAAGAAGTGGGATCTCGCTCGTGCTGAAGGGCCTGTCATGAACACAATTAGTTTAAGTGATCCCAGTTCTCATCTGAGAAGATTTGGAAGGCTAAAGAGCCAGTACAAAGCAGTTTTGGTTCCGACGTGTACCCCAGGACCCAAGAAAGAATCCAGCGAAGTACACGAGCTTTACTTTTGTACAGGAGCTTCCATCGACATTGAAGCGTCTGACTGCACAATCTCCCTTTCTGTCATGGAATCCATCCTCGGAAGGACCCTCAATTGTGTCTGCATTGTCCTCTGAACCTCTCTCCGCAACCTCCATATACCAGCAACGCCATTCATGCCCCATTTCTTCTTGTGCTTCAACCGACTTCACAATTCCTCAACACCCAACCAAAGACAAGTACCGTTCTGAACAAGAATACCACTGAGTATTGAACCGTCCCAATTAAGCAGCAGAGTTCCGTCACCATCTCCCCAGTTCCGGCTATAGAGACTGGCCAACAACATTCTTAGTCTCGGTCGAATCCTAGATACCTACGACGAAGACGACTGAGAGTCGGATCAAGACAACGCCAGACGTCAGATGGGCTTTATGCTGACCATGAGCGGCCTAAGCTGCTCAGCGCAAGTACGGTTGCGCATGACGGTGACTGAGCGGCACTGGGGAGGATCAGCTCGGCACAGCTAGAGAAGCACAAGTATAATGGCGCAGACGAAGAGAAGAACGGTAAACCAGACGGCGTATAGGTGCAAGAGACGAGGGGAAGGATATGGAGATTCTGGCGATATTGCCTCTAGCAGCAGCTATCCCACTTCTCTTCTCGAACGAAATTTGCAGCAGCATGAGCCAGAACCGCCACCACTCCGAATCTTCCATTGTCGCCGTTTTCGCTTGAGTTCTCATGATCAGTATTGATGCCTTCATGATCGCCTCCATCATCATCTTCACCATCGTCTTCTTTGTCGTCGTTGTTGCCATTGAAGGGGGCTAGCCCGCCAACATCGTCACTTAATCCAAGGCCGATGCATTTTACGTAAGTTATGAGTGCCAGAATGTGAAACAGCCCATCAATGAGCTTATGGCTTGCTCTGAATCCTTCCAAGTCGATACCAACCACGTTAACTCGATGTTCGAGGCAGAAGAGGCATTTTTGGAAGAGAGAAGTGATGGACCTGGACCATTCTTGCCTGACATACTCCGTAGCACTGGCCATGACTCCTTCACGAACGTTGTGACCAACGTACGTCGACATAGAAGAGTTGCATCAGCTATCCATCCCTCTTACATGTCGCTTCCGAAGGTGCAGCCTCACGACCTCGACGACTCTCGTGGCTCACACGCCGTTTCAGTTCTCCCTTCATTCCTCAAGACTCAAAGAAACAAATACCGTCTTGCACATCGTGTCATCAGCTATCACCCACAGCACTCCGCCACCATGCAACTCATCATAATGTGTCATGAAGCACCACCAAACCCCGGCGTCCCAGAACGAACACGCAACGGATGTCTTATTCACGGATAGATCCGCTTGACTGGGCCACGAAGGCGGCTCACACATGTTGTTCCAAGTTGCGCTACCAACGATACAGAGTGGTCGCCAGGCAGCCACTGCCTCTATCCTCAAGAAGAAGGAAAAAACCCTGCAACGAGGAACCCAGATTTTCACCGGAAATCTCTTTGTCTTCCCTTGTTACATATCAGATAGACGGAGTCGTAAGAAACGAGACCAAGATATCAGGATCCTCCTCACTGCCAGTGGAAAGCCAACACGTCTGATTGACGAGAATGATTAGTTTCCTGTCACAGCGCTCAGGAATCGGGGCGGGGCAAGAAACCTCTAGACCCTTTGTCTTAAAGACATCATGAGTCTAAGAAACTTGTAAATATACACCGAGTTGCCTAAATATTTGTGTCGCTTATAATAGAGCTTCTAAGTTTTGTTACTACTGAGGTAGGTAATTATGCTCCTGGGACAAATGCACCGCCTGTGTCTATTGAAATCTAGTTGCTCCTGCAGTAAATACTGCTGCTCCTACGACAGATATAGGGCACCGCCCGTCCACTATAACCTAACTGGGCTCGAGATCAACACAGCGCCGATCCACTGTAACCTAATCCCCCCCGCAGTAAATAATGTTGCTCCTACGACAAATCAAGGGCACTTCCCATGCACTGGAATATAATTGCTCCCGTGATCAACCGCGCCGCTCTTGAGGCAAATGTACCATCCAAGTCTACTATATCCTGATTGCCCCGGCATTACACTGTAGTTAGCACTGCTCTCCAGACGAATGCACCGCCGAATCATCACGTCCAGCGTGAACAGTGCCTCGAGTTACAGCAAACCAATCTGGATGAATTTGAAGACAAGGAAATATCTTTGATAACACAAGATTGCGCAGATACGGGGATTCGCAATGCTAAAATCCGCTAAAAGCCCGCAATGGTCAGCCTTTTCGCAGCCGGGAGCCTGAAGCAGAAACGGACTTCCTCCTCACGACTGAACATCAACATGTAACATCACCTACCGCTCTCAACACCACGATACAACATTACACAGTACTACATCACACTACCCCGGTGTATGCTTATGTAACGCAAAAAAGAACCGACCGGCGCGACCAACTTGATAGGCGGCGCAACGACGGGTTCTCTGCTCAACCTTCCGTGCCATTTCCTGGTGGTTACGAGATGACGCACTCACAGAACAATTATATTGATAACCGAAGCTGATCCGACCCTCCCAGGCATTGGCTGCCCCTCTTTTGCTTATAGTGTTCTCTCTTCCACTAACGATTTCAAGTTACTGTTATCAACCTTAAATGGACAGTACAAGTGAACCGCCATCAACTGACTTGTCAGCTTCCAAGTCTAGTAAGTTGTCTGAGATTATCCATTTTCTAGCACCTGGTTTTGTAACCTTATATCTCAAGACCAAAGCAAAATCGCGGATGGCATTCTTCTTCCCGACGATCGTGTCAGAATGCAGAACGAACAAGGCGACAGTAACAAAGAAGCCAGCGCTCCTGATAGCGACAATAACCACGCGGAGCTTCAAGACATCAATCTCAAGCGAAGTCACAGCGGTGCATTTGCCAGTGATGATATGAGCTCCAATTCTCATCCCAGCGACCTCCCTTCACGAAGGCCCCTCAAGCCCGAGCGACCATCACCGCCAGTTTCAGACGGTTCTGCTCCTGCTGGGAGCCAAGAGTTCAAGGCCAAGTCGCAAATCGTCGCCCACAGTGAGGCCTTCTCTGAGAAGGACGGCGACTGGCTGTTCGATCACACCAAGATCATACTGCGAATTGGGAACAATTACTTTGCCGCCAGTTCCCAACAGCGAGAATCACAGCTCAAGAACCTCGATCATTCCTCCCTTGACCTCACGCTCATTCCGCGACATCACTACTGTCCAAAGTTTAAAAAAGGCATCAGCAAAGCACCCGAGACCTTGTCGCTTGACGACGTATACCTCAAGCAACCCAGCCTTATCTCGTGGGATGCCAAGGATCCAAACCCTACGAGCATTGCAGATCTAGTCTTACAGGAAACGGAGATTTGCGAGACGCTCAAGAAACATCCGCATCCGAATATCGTGCGATATTTCGGATGCTTGGGTGAAGACGATGACATCGTTGGTCTTGTCTTGGGCAAGTACACCTCCAAGCTATCCGACAAGTTGGCCGATTCCACTCCTGAACAGAGAGTGAAGCTTTACGAAGGGGTTGAGAGAGGGGTGCGACACTTACACCAGATTGGGCTCATTCATAACGATCTGAATCCTGCCAACATCATGCTCGATGGAAACATCCCTGTCATTATCGACTTTGACTCCTGCAGGCTCCAAGGGGAGAAGATGGGGGACAAGAGAGGGACTTTTGGTTGGGAGTTGGAAGAAGCAGAACTTGCAGCACCAGAGAACGACTTTTACGGCCTGGAGAAATTGAAGAAGTACATTGTTAGTGGTGGCAAGGTCACTTTTGATTGATGGAGGGGAGGGTATCGGCGCCTTAGGGTTGAACAATCATCAAGTCACAGGCAATGAAAGTATATTTTGCTCGTTATGTTTACTTCCTCGTTCACTGTAGCACTCTGGTAGGGTTTGACATAAAGTGCATCCGAACTTATCCCCGTGTTGTAGTCCACCTGGCAAGATCTTGGCTAAGTTTCCTTCAGGTCGCTAAAGAGTACTCAGCCTATCAGTAATATTCATGACACCCAGGACAAACATACCATCAGCGGGATCCATAACAAGTACAAGCATCGCCTTGTCCACAACCGCTGGAGTAGCTGCAATTGCACCGTCGGCAGTCCCAAGACTTGTATCGGTAATACTTGCCCGAATTGTCCTTCCTCGTACGAAACTGGCATTGGTCGACGAGAACTTCAACCTCGGCGGCTGCCATCTTGAAACTTGTAACTATAGGATACTGGGTAGTTGTTGGCGGTGCGAGAAAAGGTAATTGGTGAATTCTATGGTATAGACAGCAGGAACGAAAAGGGAACGCAGATGGCCAGCGTCGACTGGGGTAGATAAAGGCGCAATTGAGGCTCTGCGCAGCCTGATTTTCCCGAAAGAAAAGGTCCTTGACATGATCTGACAACAAGGCAATTAGTCACAGGACGGTGCCGTCACAAGACAGAACATAAGGTTGCAATCTAGCCTTCAGTAAACCAATGAGAGTCGATACGATGTGCCACCCAATTCAGTACAAGACATCCCCAAGGAAAGAAAACAGGCTGAATATGCAACCTTGGTTCTGATGGTGTGGTAGAGGTGTTCTGAGCCGTAACACCATCCTGACATTTGAAAACTCCTCCACTTGCTGTTTCTTCCGTCAAGATGTGGCCACGTTTGGGTCCCCAGAGAGCCAGCTACCAGCATTAACGACGAGATGTACAATTAGTAGACATAAATCATCTGTAATATCCTAGTGAAAGTATGCGAGGTAGTTCTATTATGCGAGAATCTGAACAGGCCTCGTTTTCTGAAGGCTTTGAAAAATGTGTAACCATCACCCTGCGGCTGAATCAGGCTCTGGAAAACATGGGAGTTATTGGTCTTGGCTGCATTTCAGCTTTTTCCCCCCGTCTCACAAAGACAAAAAGACCAAGTTCGGGGAAGTTCCGTGATATTAGGAGTTGCTGTGATGTCTTGGAAAGACTTGGGACTTAAAATTGGCACTACAGAAACCTCGATCAATCTGTTGTCAGATGTATATTTTTACTCGGTTTATAAAAGCTCAATCTCAGTGGGGGGTGATCGGTGCGAAACGGGACTTGATAGTATCACAAGCCCTCTCGATGCTTGATGGCGAATTCGTAGGTAGGTAGGTATAGCCTCATGTTGTATTGCAGAGAGAGCGGCAACGTATCAGTCCAGCGTTTCCGCGAGAGCTGCTCCTTTCAAACATACTCCCACAACCGTTGAGTCAAGATGGCACGACGAATCCCGATAGTATCCCTGTGATTATTTGTTGCTTCGTGACACCTATGCCGTTTCTAGTTTCGCCTCGAGTCGAAGTCTTGGTCTTAGCCTACGGGGTACCGCAGGTTATGGTTGAGTAGGGCTACAGCGCATGCTTGTCCACTTCATCCACGGCATTGCCTGCTCTCTCGTATGAAGCAACAATTCATCCGTCCTCTGTTTGTTGGCGGCCGCATTTGTATTGCTGACAAGTATTGGGATCCTCGAAGTAGGGAAGGGAACGTCGGAGCGATGGCGGCGGTCGGTCGAGGGAACGAAGCTTAAAAGCTGAGGGTCTGGTTCACTGCCATTGCTAATAGAGGATGCCGCAATCCTGAACTTGCAGTAACGTCGCATAAGGGTCTAATCGCATATTGCCTTTCCCTAATGTCTCAGCATGTGGGTTGGCCGGCTCAACCGGCGTTTCGATGCGCGTTGGTCGAAAAGGGCGGGCGCCGTGACATCTAGACCATTGCTGACTTGATCTGCTCAGACGAGACATCTTTGGCTATTTGAGATATGTAAAGTCGAGCCGTGTCGACGCGGTGGGTGAGGTTTTATCGTGACGGAAATCGAGGCGATTGGAGGTCGTTTCTGTTGTAGTTGATGACGAAGTGGCCATGCTCTAGAGGTTTAACCGCTCGTCTCCAGCAGTTTCATATCATATATTATAGACCAGATCGGTCTCGACCGTCGTATCGCTAGGAAAACGTTGGCTGTAGTTACAGCTTATCGCGTACTATCGCAAAAGGTGAGGTGACAAGAGAAAGGAGAGGGGCGTGCTGCTTCATTCGCCCATGATGAGATTGAGACTCGGGGGGGATGTAATTGCACCTGGCCAACGAAGAGAAGAAGAGCAAAGTACTTAATCACAGGTGACGCGAAGACAGCTTCACAGGTGGTGTTGAAGGAACGGCGAGGTTTGTTGGTCAATGACTGCGAAAAGCTGGGTCTTGTTTTGATGCGGCAGTGAAATTGGGGGGCATTTATCGCAAGAGCAGGGGTCATTCATTGGCTAGAGAGGAATCAGGTTAGTTACAGCGGATTACTCGGCTGCTTCATGAGGCTAGACCTGGTCAATGCCTGAACACCAAGACCTGGACCCGTAGAATTAACATTGATCAGGATCTAGACAAGCACCGAATCAGAATTCGCTATTGAGCATCTTGTGCCCAAATACGGTTATATCGTATTTAGCTTCAGATCTCTGATCGCCACTAACGTTAGCTCGGGGCACAGTCTCATATCCACCTCACAATTGCCCCTCAGAGCAAGTCCCAGCCTACCGAATTGCCCAGCAGTTACAGAACAGAACAGGACCTACAATCGAGTAGGATGTGGTCTTCTTCGGGGGGTATTCATTCCCGAAATTGACCGTAAAGGAACTGACCTTTCCCATGCTCACATCGTGTCTCAATCCGACCAGCATCTTAGACTAGTCACTAATCGAGCCTCTACTTCACCAACTCAATGCCAGTGTCATCTCACGCCACCTTATACCAATTAACGCGCATGGACATGGCGACAATGACGGGGTCTCAGTGCGATGAAATTGAGATGGATCTACACGGGTGAGCAGTGCAGTTTTCGACACAGCCCTTGTCTCGGACCACTGTAGCTCCCATCGCAAATCCTCGTCTCTGAACCTCCAACAATGAGGGCACGGGGCCACGAGGAACAAGACCAGAATCACCGCGAGTCGCCCATTCACTTGAGTCGCAAGATAGATCCAGTAGTAAGGGCATCCAAGAGCGATATCTTATTAGTACGCCATTTCGTACGCGCGCCAATCGGGATTTCTGTGCAGCCCCAGTCCCAAGACCAACAGTCCACTCACAATTTTAAAGCGCCGCAAATTGATGATCTAGCTAAGCCAGCGACAGAAGGTCAGGGAACTACACTTCCGTTCTAGTTATATTATTCTTCGCACAGTTCAGCCTTCTCTTCCGACTTCAAAACTCCGTGAGCTTTGTAAACCGGGCTTCACGTGGAAACACCATCAAAGCAACAATGCCGCCTTGCGGTTTTGTCGGCAACATGAAGCGTCAACATTTCTCTTCGGGAGCTTGCTCAATTAGAATTTATTCGCCTCGATAGAATCGACTGAATTCAGGCTAAGGGCAAGACTTGATCAATTATGGAACCGGCCCCATGATCGCGAGAGTTTCTCGAAAACACACATCGAACAATCTTCCGAAACACACCTTCTACACCCTTCTACTCCTGCCGCTCCTCAATCTCTTCTCTCAATGCCAACAACCCTTTCTCCAAATCCTCAATCATGGGGAACACATTGGCCCTCAAAAGGAAAAGCTCACTCTCTAGGTTCATTTGACGCTGTAACAAGGTCGGAACCTCAGCCTGCTCCTCAGCCTTCTCTTCAGCCTGCTCCTCAGGCACCTCGCCTCCAGGCACCTTTCCATCAGACTCCCCTTCGGCATCGACCCGTTTAAAGAGGGCACAGGCTTCTTCCTTGACTTTGGTCAACTAGTCAAAGTCAGTGTCCATCTATTTCACAGCAAGACGAGTGGCACCTACAACTTTGACAACAAGAGAGTCTGCCCCCAGAGTCTCTTTTGCTTCTTGCAAAGCAAAGTAGTACTGACTGATGTCTTCTGAAATGCCATTAAGACGAAGTTGTCTCTCGGTGAGCTTTTGGTCAGGGATGTCAGCCTGCCATGGATCAACACTCGGTATCATACACTGATGAGGAAGAGCGTTGACTTACGACGTTGTGAGAGTCATCTTCCGCATACACACAATCTTCCTCAGCAGCGCCAGATGGACCGCCTGGGGGCTCGCTGGCTTCGGGGACCGGACTGATGACTGAGTCGTCGTTGTCGAAGCGTGCGGCCTGCGTCGGCCGCGAGGCGGGACTGACACCCGGCGATCGATGTCGCTTTCTGCTCGAGACTCGTCTCTTCGGAGGCATTGTGGATTGGTGTATTCTTAGAGTAATTGTAAGTGAGAGTAAGTGCGAGTAAAAGTGATTGCGAGTGAAATGAGGATGCAATGAACAGGGCGGCGATGGGGGTTTTGTAACTCTCATGGAGGCAATACAACGCCAATCAGAGATCGGTGGTGGCTCGCTCGCTCGAGAGGCCATTTTGAAGGATAGCGACGTGAATAATTAGTAGCCCGTGATGATATCAAACGGGCAGCCGAGTAAATGCTGCTCAGCTTTACGATGAGAATGAGCAGGGGCGCCGTAGATACATAGGCAGGACGTAATCAGTAGCAGCTTAAGGGCAAATATGCGTGGTAAATTGTTAGCTCAGGTGTACTGCGCATGTACAAGGTATGCCCCTGTCCATCAACGGAGAGGTCGGCACTCTGCTGCTTTGCGTTTACAACGGCTCGGGTGCAAACAACTCAACACCCGCGCCCTGGATTACGAAAAATCGGTGAAGCTCTCAGATTTTCTTGTCTTAGCTTAAGTAATCTCCTTTGTCTGTGTGCCACCAAAGATATCTGAACATACTGCCATGGCTATGGCCCCTTGCGCGTCGTTGAACTGTGCACGGGTTCTAGGGTAGGGAATCTGACAACGTGTGAATCAAGTAGACTGGTCACGATGTGCAAATATTACAGCTTTATATTGAAATGGCATCCTTGCTGCAGCTCAACGCTATAGCAAAGACAAGATTGATCTGGAAGAAGTTTTAGCTAATTTGATTAATCGCAACCAGTACATCCCTCATCTGTTGTCAAACTTGTCAATTCTTCGCGGAAATTTGAAAACTGCCAGGCTCTTGGCCAATCACAGCGGTAGGAGCAGAAGTCTACAGCGCCAGTACGTGGCCAGGTTTTGGAATATCACATCTCATCTGCTTCCCGCGCAAAACCAACGCAGCGTCAAGTCCACGGGGAACAGAAGACATCGCACACAAGTACATGCATGTGTCGTGATGCCATCAGCCTTCGCACGTGTTCTCGCCTCTGAGCAAACGATAGCTGCGGCTGGGATCCCCGGTAAGTCACAGTAAGCTAGTGATGGTGCCGGGGCGCGCAATCCACAACACCTGACGGTTGTTCGAGGTTGCAGAGTTGGCGCTTTCGTATGCTGCGACGTTGAGGGAAAACAGACAAGACATATTTTTCTGAGATGGTCTGGTTTCGGTGTTCCAAGCGACATACAGCACGCCATAAAATGCTCAATCAGCATGCTGACAGCCTGTAAAAAACCGGCCACCGAATGCCCATATTTACGGCGCGGGCTGTAATGAAGAAAGAATAAAACATTCGTCCAGACTTTTGACTGAGGTGCAAAGATAACCGAGCCAACGAACGAAACTCACTGTTCTGATTGGCTTTACTTCTCGAGTGTGACAATGAGCGATAGAGCCTTGGATGTCAGGCAGTCCGTCACACGGCGCGGAGAATATGAACAAGACAAAGGCCTCGTTGCTGATATCCATGCCGAAACAGCATCGTGGCCATCGGTATAATGGAAGACCTTGAACCACCGGTTGGCACCGTCGCCATCGTCGCATCGCTTAAATTGCTCGTCGCAGGAGTCAGGACCGAGGCTTGTAAGCTCAACCGACTCAAACCTGGAGACTACGTATCGCTATGGGAACTACAGAGAGATGTAGATAATATCTACGCACTTCTCGATGCAAATCTGAAGGAACTGGAAGCGGCTGTGGACCACGTCGTTACTGCTAATGAACTCTTGAGCTTGGACTCTACAGAGAAGCCTGGTTCGACAATCGACGTGTCGGAGGCGGCAGAGGGAGTGTTGAACAATCCGACTCAGCAGACTTCAAATCAAGCTACCACTTCTGAGAAGGAGGGACAGTCAGATCCGAGCCAACTGGATGTCAGCTCTGAGCCTCATCCGCCCGGTATCATCTCTGTAAACACCGCAAGTCCACCCGCATCACCAGAACGCAGACCGCAAAACTATGCCAAAAAAGCAAACTCAATCGCAGCCAAGGCAGCGGCGCACAAGCGACGAGTTGAAACTCGCACCAGCGCCAGACTCAACAAGATGGCTCAGCCAGAACCGAGACTCAGCCGCTACGAGAAACATATCGATGACCGCGATGATATACCAACCTTGGAGCTGAAGCAGTTAGGAGAGAATCTCGCCGCCACAATAGATACTCTCGCTTCTGACGCTGATAATATCCAGAAGGCTCAGGTGTCAGGTTTGGCAGAAGCGATGAAGCACCGTCGATCAAACACTTGGAACCTCGAACCGAAAGATGGCGGAGATGTCAATAGAAACATTATCAGAGTTTAGTCCGAAGATCTCATCAGGATTACGATAACCAACAAAGAGCAATCTTTCCATCGGCCTGGTTTCGAGGGCTTGAAGAACCGCATGACAACAAGAGTAGCAGGTCGTAAATTAGCATGCTTCGTCAACGACCCCGAACGCTCCATTCCTCACTACGCTGGTGTCATGAAATCTCCCCTGTGGGATCTCTGCTCTCTACATGCAGGTAGACTCGCTGAGATTGATGAGCTCAGAAGCGTCAATAAGCCTTATGCGCACTGCAGGGAGGCGTATTCGGGGACTGCGATGCATAAAGAGGATGCCGGTTTTGGATCAGTGAGCGTGGGATTTGCTGGGACAACGGCCTTTCTGCTCGTCGATATGAGAGACACAAATATGTTTGAAGATTGGGTTCGAGATACAGCGCTAGTGAAGTTCAAGGGGCGAGGTCGACGAGGCGACCGTTCTGCTAGCAACACTTGGACTCTTCTCCAATCAAAGAGTCGGATCTCAGACTGGGCAAAGCTGGGAGAAGAGAAGATTTTATGAATGGGATTCTTGTACTATCTTTGGAGTACAGGGCTTCTTAATCGCACAATTGAGGATGTAGATCACTGATGAGACCTAGAGCATGAGCAATTGTATCGGACTTGAGCGGACTTCAACATCAGGACAACTCTAAAGCGGTTGACCTTGTACGCGTCACTTTCGTGCAACAGGTCTACAGAGACGTCGAGGGATACACCTAGGAAGGCGTATGAGGACGAGATGTTGATTGAGGTGATCGACTTACTGAACCTCCTATTCACCGGACAAATGGCGCCGCTTAGTTCAGAATCTGCCTCGCGGAAATGTCGACTCGTCGATGCACGGCTCCTCCTTGGCTTGCATAACCACTGCCCCTATGGTAAATAATCCACCGCTATTTCAACAAGGGAATCATATACAACAGACTGGAGAGAGTTTGAGGAGTAAGTAGTCTACGGAATAGTCATGATGCGATAGCTGGCGATACTGGGCAGCTGGTACATCTAGATAAGATGGATCGGATTGCCAACGTTGGACGTTTCGAACCGGTGACGGTGCGTCCCAGTTGCAGAAGTTGATCTGACATCCAGCGGGGGAATTCAACGACGGTCTAAGCCAATAAAGATATTGCAACATTAGCATCCATTCTTCTTGTTGGAGTTGATGGCGAATTCACTGAGGAACTACACCAAGGAGATTGGGTCAACGGAATGCTGTGCATGTCTAGAGCTTGGAAGCCAACGGAAGCTCGGTCAACATGCGTAAAAGGCCTAATTGAATGACGAAGCTTCCGCCTGGACATGGATAGATAACTCGGTGTGTTTAGGCGTTTCGAACTTGGGAAACAGGCCGGGTAGGAATGGCCATGAGGCAACGGCGGCTCGATGAAGTGTGTACGAGAGATTGAAGAATATCTGCTAATGCTGATCCAGGTTGGTAAACACTCGAACTTCAAAATTATAGTTGAACCGGCGGCCTGCGACGTTCATGACTCCAGACAATCTCTTCCGCAGTGTTTCCAGGGATGGGGACTCCAGTGCTCATGCTCAGATAGGCATAACATCTCCACCGGCTGTCCCTCAAAAACTCTGCTCGTGACCCAGACATATCGCGCCTGGCGAGGGTTATTACAATCCAGAAATAAGGTCGACGTTTCCCTCGCGCATTTGCACCATTCCGGTGAGCATATGCTATTATTACTTGAGCGGGTGAGGATCGAGGAACCGAAGTTGCTGACGAGAAAAAAGGTGGTATTTGGCTGGGCCGTGTCACGAGGAATATGTAAACCGATGAAAAAGGGAGACGCAATGATGTGGCTTTCTCGTAGACAAGTTTTCATGACAGGCTTGTCCACAGAAACGTGCTTGCACTGATCAAACAAGCGACGGTAGTAGAGTTACAGGTGCTCGCAAGAGGAAAGCGGAGGGGTTATTTAGCATATCGGCGTCTCCCTCTGCTTGTTTGTAAGAGCTATAGCAGGTAGGTAAACGCTGCCAAAGGGTTTCAAGAACGCATGACCGTGCCTGATATGAAGTCCCGTCTCCTTGAACAGCAATAAGAAACGAAGCCAAACGAAGTACTTGAATAAGATGCCCTAGCATACCTAGGTACTTTACCTTGGTGCCAGGGAAATATTATATCTAACAAAAGGTATACACGACTTTCTAAGGGTTAAAGAACAGAACATGTTTAACGTTGTTGATCATATTCTAGGTCCAAAAGAGGCTCTACAATTCTATTCTACCAACGTCTACCATTGGAAGAGCGGTATACAATAAGGACCAAGATTAAAGTAGCTCTTCTCTCGCCCAATTCTCAAAGCCCAAAATAATAAGCAGATCCAACCAATGCATGCAATGTTATCGAAGCAAGGTGTAACCCATTCCCAGGTACACCATCTCAAAGCTTGCGCTTCTTGGCAGCTCTTGGCTCCATTATCGGACCATCGTGTTCGTCGGGGCTGGTCTGAACTGGCTGATTGGCATCGTTGGACCCGTAGAGTTCATCAGTTTCGTCACTCTTGGAAGATGTTGAAGAAGACTGCTAGTCCTCAGATGGCTCAGGAGGGCTGCGAGGTGGAATGGGGGATATCTCACGCACACGTCAAAGTGCAATTCGATCCTTCATGACCTCGGCAGCTTCACGACGTTCCTGCACTTTTTCTGGCTTATCTGGGAAATGGCAGAGGGTACCATAGGAGATGGAGGTTCCAATATCCTTGTACGCAGCGTGCTGCATTCGTCAAACGTGAAGTCATCGAGGCATAGCTTCAGGCTCTTGGTTTCATTGGCTGGGGCTTTGTCGGCAGTATGGAAAGGCTGAATTAGCTTGTAAGCGTTGGTCTTGTGTAATCAAGCAAGGAACTTACATCTGAATTGACGACATGGTCGATATGTACCCTCTCTCGGCCAGGTGCCTCATTGAATGCGATGCGGGATCTCCAAACAGAGATGGTCGATTGCTTGTTCGACTTGATATTAAGGCCAACAACAACTTTGACTACTCCTCCCGAGCCTTTGATATACTCATGCGCGAGCTGGCGTAGCTGCTTTGCTTTTTGTGTACACGCCGCCTCAAGGATCACTGTAGGGATGTCTGTCAGTTCGTACTGGCACTGGACATCTGGCCCTTTCTGTTGCCCCTCGTTTTCAGTGTCGCTTCCTGAAGCATCGACGGCGTTGGGGTTGGTAGCTAGCTCATTTCTGGTATTTGCATACAAATGACGAGGTACAGTCTAGCATTCATTCCGCTATTGAGACAATGCCTCTTCCAAATCACCAGATACTCCCCGTGATCCTTCCACAAGGTTAAGACTCAAATTTTGGTCGCCCACGCCACCGAAGAACGAATAGGTCTGGCCGGCGGTCAGTCATCCACAGAGCCTATCTGGCAAACTCAGATTGCACAAAGATGGAAGGCCCAGTGCTGCTTGACTGTGTCAGAGGGTGGAAAAGCGAGGGAGGGAGTAAACATACCAGGGTCGAGAAGGCAGCAAGCTGGACCTTTGCTTGTTTGGAAAGACTCGTTTGACATCCCGACCCCAAGGACGATCTTCTTCACGTCCCTCTTCATACTCCTTCGCGTGGACAAAGATGTCGTCGATGAGATCGAAGGCCAGGCACCAGTCGGGTAGATTTTGCATCGCCCTGGGGCCAAAGGAGAAACTCTTTGGTATTTATCGGTATCGGGGAAGTGTACCGTCTTAGGAAGAACACAACCTACTCCAAGGTGGGAGAATATGAACTTGCTTCCCCAGGCTACTCAGAAGCGGAACTGGCTTTTGGCACATGCCTTGGATACTCGTCTTCGACTTCTCGAGGCTTTCGGGTTGTCATGGTGGCTTTCAAGGAGAAACAATTTGGAGTCGGCTCTCTCAGTCTCCACCTTGCGCTTGGCCTCGGAGGTGGGTGCTTGCTGACTGGGGACTTATTGGCGGTAGATGGAGCTGTTCTTCCCGTGGTGGGCTTGTGCAAAGCGACGTTGGTCCAGTCACGTCCAAGTGGGAAAGCTTGTTGCCTCCGTGGGGCACGATACCGTCCGTGGCGGTACGAAGTCAGAAGCTGGATATTTGTTGCCTTGAGAGGACTCTGTCTCTTCGTCCGGCGGTGTTAGTCTCGGCATGGGGTTTTCTGGAGGCAAGGTTCGGGCTGGCCTTGTGGTCAGTCAGGCGGCAGTCCTGCGTGGAGATTTGGCAGTTCGTGGTGGCCAGGGTCTTCCGAGTGAAGTAGCTTATGGATAGCGTGAAGGTGGGGAGGAGGGAGTGGTCAGGCGGTGGTGAGGGTGAGGGGAGGATGAAGACGATTGATGGTGGTAGCTGTGATGAACATACTCGGGTGCCACCATTTTGATTGCTTGTTGATGCGACAGATATGCGGACTCTCGATCCATGATAGTATCGTGCAATGATGCTCTTGGTTGGATTCCTTTTACTGAGAAGGATGGCTACGAGTTGGAATGAATGGTGTTGTTATTAGCTACCAGCGCTATCTAGGGTGTGACGAGTTGGAAATGAGAAGCTGGGCGGAGGGTCGGCGATCGAGAGTGTGATGGCGACTGTGACCGTCAGTCATCATCAAGGTCCAGGGAGTGCAAGTACTCTGCTGTTGCCCTACCTTCATCGCGATACTCGAGTACCGCCATTTTGGCGCTTCCTGACTCCCCTTCCCCCTCTAAATTCCCCAGGGCGTCCGTCCGCCGCACGGAGCCCGCTGTGGGGGGCGTGGCTTGGGGGGCCCAAGAGGAGGACGCAGCTCGCCGCGTTCACCATTCCGGTGTCTGCCTCTCGGCTGTGGATGTTGCGTGGCTGTGGCGGCGCTGTTGGTCGGGTTCTTTTTACTCAGAAAGATGCGGCGAGTTGGAAATGGAAGCAAGCTGGGGGGTCGGCGATGGAGAGGTGATGGCGACTGTGACTGTTAGTTATCATCAAGGTCGGGGGCATGATCATTCGGCTGGCTCACCTTCATCGCGATACTCGGGTACCGCCATTTTGATTGCTTGTTGATGACCAAATGATGAGCTCTCGAGTGCAGAGTTGGCGGTGCACTCGAGAGCCCGCAGTGCACACTGCCTCATGCCCGCGTTGGGCCACAAGCTCAACAGAGCTGTGCGAGTTAACGGAGGAAGAAAGAGCAAGTCTGTTCAAGGCGGAGATTCGAGGTGATGGAAATGTGCGTTTGAAGATGGTTTGAGGCAGAGAGTGATGAATGTTGTGAAGAAGTTGGATGCGAAGTTAAGTGTCGGAAGAGAGGTAGCTTTGCTCTGATGACGTACCACTTGCCAGAATAACATTGCATGCTCCTTTGAGGAAGGCAGGACAGTTCCAGCAGAACAAGCACATTGTTTGGTAAGGTAGCACCAAGATTGCATACCTGCGTCTGCTGAAGCAAGGGTCCTTTCGCGGCGAATCCTTGAGTTACTGTAACCACCAACAGCGGGCAGGGTGAGCTAAAGTAATGGGCCTCCACTGTTTCCCAGCGCCTCTCCGCAGTGGTCAACGACACCAATTACTCATCGGTGACCAAGAAAGCATCAGACATTGGTACAGCACATTTAAATAAACTTAGTAAAATATATCCTAAACTTATGCTAAGTTGCCTAAGTCTTTTCAGAATTCAAGCCCTGAGCTTTGTTTCTTCCCCTCCATACTGCAGCTTCAAGGGATTCATCAGTCAATTACAAAGGAAATGCGCAATGACCAACAACGCTCTGCTTTGACCTATCCAATCTTGTCAACACAAGACCGTGTTTCCACATGTGAAAAAGCTCCTCAGCTGGCTATGAGCCAGCCAGTGTTCCATCTCCCTTTCTTTGCATCTCAAGCATACCCAGGCTTGCGTCGTTAAGGTTCCATTTGGACCACAGTTCCCAAAGGACAAGAGCAGAAAACCTGAGCCCCTACCAATCGCTCCCCTACGCAAGAATGTTAACTGTTGCTGAAGAACTGCCAGAGTGATACCAATGTTAAACAGCTGTCGAATTGGCATCGCATCTTGTTGATACAGCATCTGCACCTCCTCTTCTTTCGCCCAAACCCAACTCCCGAGGCTATTCATATCAAAATCGATAGCCCCAGAGTAAATACCACTTGTCCTGGGCCCAAAGAAAGAGCTTAGAATAAATCTTTCTCGAGATGTGCTGACCAGAACTGCAGCTTCAGTATCATTTACTAAGGGCTTCCATTTCCCATCGAGGTTCATGGTTCATACGCAGTATTACGGGAAAAGATAGCCAAAACTGCGGTTAAAATCTGCCATGGAGGCATCTTCACAGTGGCACGGCAAATAACCATTCATAAACAAACCTTCCCTGCCCCTTCAATTCATAGCTGTTTTACGGTTCATTTCTTCATATGTGAGAAACGCTGTTCAGCCTCTGATGATAGATGAGGTAGAATTAACGTTAACGCGTCGTACCAGATCTCACTGCATCATCTATGATGCCCATGCGGTTACATAGCAAAGTTATATCGGCCTGTGCAAGGTCCAAAAACGCCGAAATATGTATATCAATGTAATCTTACTGGTTCCCGGGATGAGAGTTGTTAGACAAGTCGGGTGTCGCAAGCTTCACCCTGACCCATGGCGTCCAGTTGTGCAAGATATGAATCAAGTACGGAGGCTGGCCGTACGTGGAAGCACAACGATTGAGCTGACTGTCATTTGGCACCGCAGCCAAGACTGTCTTCCACTCACGTTGGGCAGGTGTGGTTATGAAGCGTCAATCCGGGAATTGCAATTCGCCTCACTAACAGTGCCTTGGTTACTCAGACATCATAAGAATCATGGTACCTTTCATTACTTCAGTAATAAACATGTAAATAATGGAATCACTTCTGCGATATTAGCCCTTGAGAGTACTGGGGCGTACTTATGGAGACCTTTGGTGGACACGATTCTGGTCTTGATCAGACTTCAGATCTCAAGGTTACATTCGCCTACGAATGTCAACATGCCCGGTCATAAACAAGCAGCTTTGGTTGCCGTATACCGGCTGCAAAATTTACTGAAGCTGGCATTTCTTGATGGCATTGCAGATTGCTGGTCAAGTCGGTGAATCAAAGGCCACAGAAATGTCTCTTTATGAGGGGCTGGTGCAAACTGTGATAAGCATGCGAGTCGCCGATGACCTGGGTGATGATGCAGTGCCAGCCTTGAATAGCTATAGTGACCAAGATTGATTAATTCTCGTAACTTGGCTATTATTGTGCGTGGTTGTGGTTTCATTGAGCCATCTGCCTCATCCTGAGGGTAACGGTAGCAGGAGACTGTAGTCAAACGCGACCAGTAGTCACCAAGGACTACTATTCGACTAGATACGATCCGATAAGGCTTACTACCTTGCTCTGGTCTTGGCAAGGCAACCTCTCTTTATGGATGCAGTCCGAAGTCGCTAAAGTCGATCTCATTGCCTTGACATGCACGCTAACAGCTGGCCTTTTAATGCCGACCCGCACACTCTCGGCACTCCAAGCTTGCTGGGGATCAATTCCTCTGAGACATGATTTCAGTCTCAACGTTGAAGCTTGGTTTGATCTTGTGTTGCACTTAATCGCCCTCCGGCTGATGTGATGTGGGGAGACTTAAGCTTAAACGATGGATGTTGTCATCTGCTGCCAATCACGGTATTCGAGATGTCCGAAAGGGGCAGTATTTGTCCCAGGGGGGCTGTACCAAGCTCTAATGGGAAATGGTGTTCTGGGGAGACTTCTCCTGAACTTACAACGATCGGCGGTGAGGAATCCCAGTGCTAGAGGTGATGTCGCGCTTGTCTCTTGTTGACACTCAAGACTCAACCTCACATCTCAAGAAAGCGGTGGTACTAGCTACGATCAGCCATGAAATTAGCACTACCAAAGGTTCAATCCCTCCAATGGAGGACGGAATCTTGGATCAATTGCTGCCCTTGTTTTTACCGCACTTGCACGACTCTAAGGTCGCTTTGACGCAGCTGCGAAACCACCCGTGGATTCCGGTTGTTATACATTCAACTGCCTTCTGTTCTGGCATTCTCACTCCGTGGAACACATCGATAAATGATGGTAGAGATCTTTCAACTTTGCGCCTTTGTAATGTGGAGGGTCACTGACGCCGTTCAATTTACTGGAGGGCGTGTCCGGCGGAAGCACTAGACATGCAATCCCAGGCATATTTCATCTACACAGCCCGCGACATCTCATTACAAGACCGACTTATACTGACCACTAAGGTTTATATCAAGATCCCATGAGGCTGTGGTCGAGACAACACCCGAGACAACCCCATTCCATCATTCTTGCAGAGACATAATGTACCGATAAGAGGATACCTGAACTCATGACTCTTGATCAGTCTGACACAACTGTACCCGATCGATGGAAATGAATGGAAAGCTCCATGATACATTCTTGTTGCAACCCCTTAGCAAGTCAGCTCCTCTCGGTCGCTCAAGCTGTTTTCGAGGTCGTTTTAAGGTTACCCAGTGCACGATTATTGGTATTGATACGGCGAGCCAGTAGAAATGCTGCCAACCTTTGAACAACTTCCTCGGACTGCGGCAGGAAGACTTTTACGCCTGGCGGCTATAACGGAGCCGGTCAGAGATACTTGCAGATGTTCAAAAGCGGGGATTAAGAACCCAAGTGTACGATGGCCTTGCCAAGAAGCATTATGAAGGCCAGAAGAGGAGAAGCGTTAGGCCATGAAGCGCGAGCAGTTGCAGAGGGCAATTTATGTTCAGAGCTTGAGTTAGTGCGACGGCGGCCGCAGATATGGAGGAGCTGGTCTGGGATCGCTTCTTGAGATACAGGCTTGAGTTCCTCCTGGGAGAAACGGGTGAGACAGCGTTCAAGTGCAGCGGGCCAAGGCTTGCGTATTTGTTGGTTCACAAGTGCGAGATTCCTCGGTCCCACGCAGGCTCACAATAAGCTTTCGGTATGTCGCTGTGATTATGGGTATGTCGAATATGGTGTGTACTTTGGTCCGCAAAGCATTATCAAGGGTATCAACTCTTTGACGGTCAATGAGGCACGCAATGCGGCCGCGCTTCACGTCGCTGGGACTTTCGTTGCTCGATCGATGGCTGTTGCAGGCGCCTTTGAGGACCTTCTCGGTCTACCGCTTGTCGCGGAAGTGAAACACAGTTAAGGCGGGGCGTGTTGGGCTCGAGAGTATTCAGGATTTGTTGGTTCAAAGGCGCAGGATTCTCGAGTCTTTCGCATGTTTCCAGCAAGCTTTCGGTGTGCTGCTGTGGTTCTGGGCATGACGCAAGATGGCGCATACTTTTAGTTCGCGAAGCATTATCGAGGGTATCGACTCCTACGGCAGGCAATGGCGCCCGCGCTGGGCGGTGGTTATTGCGGTTGAGGCTCTCGTTGATCGGGCGGTAGGGCGGCGTCGTGCAATCGGAGCGCTCCGGGCGACGGTTCTTGCAAGCATGTCTGTGTATTTCTATGGTTCATCACCTGTAATAACGAGTCAGCAGTGGTTTGGTGCCGTGAAATAGCATGTGCCACAGAGCCTTGTACGCGCTTGTCGGCGGGAGGGTGTTGACGTGAGAAACGTACCAAGGTTTGAGTGTGAGAGTCACGCGAACAGCTTGACGCGACGCCTGGTAGCGCGGACCTTATCCAATGCCCGGCCATGCTCGCTCCAGAGGGGAAAGGTGTTTGCGTAATCGGTGGTCGGGTGATTGTGCCAGTCGATACAGTAATGAACAGTTGTAGCTTCCTCCTTTATAACAGTATTACATTCTGTTTATATCTCTGCATAGTGCCAGTAGTATCTTTATAGAAACTGTATACTTCTGCATAAGTGCTAATAAATATTCGGTTTAAGCTTAATCTGTCTTCTAATAATAAGTTACTAGGCAGTAACTTTTGGCATATTACCTTAATGCTAAAAAAGGGCAAACTTAAACTCTATAACCCTCTATATAGCACCTTAATTATTAAAAATTTAATAAACTAAGCTTAAAAGTCTTATTATTAATAAGTTATTTTTTTTTTCCTT